AATATTATGTCAAAGAAGTTGAATAAAAGACCTATCATTCTGAACTTGAATTAGACACATCAGTGTGAACTCATGATGCATTTTCTTCACTTCCTGGACAAAGAATGTGCACGTTGGTACACCAGAAGACAAGGAAACTATCAACAACTACTGATGCCATGTTTAAAGAGCTCAGGAGCCAATGTAAAGAGGCCAACCACGGGCCAAAGACAAGACAAAATGAGTGTCACTGATAACAATAGCTACAGTGGATGGAAACAGACATACTGGTTATAGCATGTGACTTCATAACGGTAAACGAACAACAAAATGCCAGACATCAGGGGTCACATTTGGGGGTTTGTTGGGAAACAGTCTTATTTTGAAAATAGCTAAATAAAAGGAGCCAAATACTGATCTCCCTTCACTGTACCAACTTTATCTCAGCATTACCATATAGTTGATGAGGGAGAGCTCTTTAGAGAATAATTTGGTTAATAAATAAAGGAAGAATAATAGAATATCATAATTTTGCAAACTCTAAAGAGACTTAGGCAAAGATTATTAATGGCTGCTAAAATTGCTGCTGCTATGGTTGAATTGTGTCCCTCTAAATTCATGTATTAAAAAAAGTCTTAACCTCCAGTACCTTAGAATGTGTCCTTATTTGTTATATTTAGAAATATGGTCTTTACAGTTGTCATCAAGTTAAAATGAGACCATTAGTGTAGACCCATATCCGATATGACTGGTGTCTTCATCAAAAGGGAACACAGAGATACACAGAGGAGGGAGATGTGAAGAGACATCAGGAGAAGTTAAATACATGCCAAGGAGACAGGTCTGAAATGGCTCTTCGCACACAGCCTTCCAAAGGGACCAACAGTGCAGACTTCAGAACTGAGACAATAAACTGCTGCTCACACCACCCATTTTGTGATACTTTGTTACTGCAGCCCTAGAAAACTACTACAATTCCGTGTAAATGAATGGGGTTATTACAGCAGACATATCAGATTGTCAATGCCTAAATCTGCTCATCGATTTTCAGATCACAAAAAAAGACATAGCCAAGCATTTGTGTTTCTTGACAGAAGTACACAATAGGTGCCTTACACAACGGTCTTGCCAAAACACAACGCAATGACTGATATAAATCTGGCCAAGCCTCAAATAGGGGAAACAGAAGAACACATTTGCAATGACAAGATGTAATCATAAAAAATAACATGATTAAAAAAATTACCAGGTGAAATGAAAGAATAGAAAATATTTAGAGTATAAAAAATTTAAGGTAATTCATCAGACAATTATAATGTGTATATCAGTTTGGACCTGCTTTTAAAAGGCAATAAACTATGAGAAAGGTAGTGTTACTGTAGATCTGCTAGTATTGGTTATCTGTAGTATTATGCTACGTAAAAGTAGCATAATAATCGTACACAGTTCATAGTGTTGTGTTAGTGATTAAATATATAGGTAGAGCATTTAGCATAGTGACTGATGCGTTATGTCATTTCAATTATTATATACTAGGGTATTGGTTAAATTGTATGATACAATCGCAATCAGTATTAGTTAAAATGATGTGATATGTACATCTTACTCTGCATATGCATACTGTGTGTGCACACAAGTCCACATACATGCTCTACAACACACTTACTGAGTGTCAATGTGAGCCAGTATTTGGCTGAAGAGTTTTCACTATGAATTTCACTTCCCATTCTCATGAACCCTCAAAACCAACCAGCCCTGAGCTTTCCTTTAGTAGGAGATGCAGGAAAGAAGCATTAGGAAACGTTGAAAGGAAAACTAAAGCAAGAGTTAGGAGGAAAATGCAAAAGAAAGGGCAGCTGAAGAAGGTTAAATTTGCCACTAATTGTCTTCCAGAATTAAGTCATCCCATGCCTGCCATTTTCAGGGAAAGGTGAAAGCATCATGCTTCAGCACCCACAAGGCTAGGCCTTGGAGAGAACCAGTGTGCAGCCAGCTGGAACGTGTTTGGACAAGAGGCAGAATACATCTAGTCATTTATTGTGATGATTGCTCTTTGGTTAAAAACCATCATTTAGATACAGGAAATGTTGCAGCTGACAACTATCTTGGGTCAGATGACCACATCCTACAAATTTTCATTTCAACTTTTCAAACATTTATTCGGTTTAAGAGAGGAGATACAAAAGGCTATGGAAATAGAGTTTACATTTTCAACAAATATACAATCTTTTTTGCATCACAGAAAAATAACTCTAAGATACAGAAAGAATATCCTGAGAGTTACAAACAAATCTCCTGGGCCTTTATGAGGTGAAAGTGAAGTAAGATATCAAAAAAGAGAAGGTTTTTATCTGGTCAGGAAGATTGTAACAATCCTCCTGGAGAAAAAGGAATTTGTGAAAGGATTTAAAAAAATAGTAAGATAGGAGAAAGCAGTGAAGTGGGGAAAAGTCTTTGGGAATAGAGAAGGGAGGGCATTTCAGTAGGAACATGCTGTTGCTAGATAAAATACAACATGCTTAATTAAATTTGGATTTCAATAAATAGCAAGTATTTTTTTAGTATAGATATGATACATGTAATATTTGGGACATACTTAAATTTGAAATGTTCTGGAGATCTTTAAACAAATAGTAAGTTGTTTTTAAAGGTTTAGATTTTGTAGAAGATGGTAATGGGCCATAAGTTGGGAAAGACATTTTGGTTATTCATAGAAGTTCTTAGGTTCCATACAGAAGACTGAAAACATACTTTTTGTGGGGACTGTGAAGAACTTTTTTTTAGTGCAGGAGCAATATGATCTGACATGCACTGTAGAATGAATAAGATAGCAGTGATGAAAAGGGGAAAAACTGAGACAGGAAATTGGCCAGGAAGTGACATATAGTGAGATTATTAATTTATTTAGGTGATGAGAATGGTTTGGAAATAAAGATGGTTGAGATAGAGTAGAAGCAACAGATTGGACAAGGGATAAAAGAGAGATAAAGTCAAAGATGCTGCATTAATGCCTATTGACTGGGATGATGATGATTTGTTAGCAGCTAGGAAAGGCATAGGACTTGGTTTTAGGAAAAACAGATAATACGAAATAGGGGTCATGTCAGGAGGAACTGGCAGGGCATCCTGATACAGAGTCTCAATAAGCAATTACAAATATTCTTTTGTACTCAATGATTTTGGTATTTTAGATATTTCAGCTGTTAAATTCAATAAGTTGGCCACAATTAGAAGCAAAAGACAAACCATTGATTGAATAGCAAAAAGACAGAAGAACGAGGATAATGAAACAATTGTGTTGAATCTTGGAAATTTGGCAGTCAAGGTTAATCATCACTGTTAAATTATTCAGAGAAGTCAAGAGTATAAATTGAAAATCAGCAATTATGTATGTAATTTTTGAAAGAGCTGTTTTAGGAAGGTCACGTGGATGAGAGCTACTCTGGTTTTGGAGATTGAGGAGTGAGTGGATGGTGAAGTAGAAGAAACCAAAGGGCTGGTGCATGAAGGGAAATTGAGGGGAAGGAGCCAACCGAGAGGGAAGACTGAACAATTAAATAAAAGGGAGCAAAGTCTGAAAAGAGTGAGCAGCAATGATATTAACTTCTAGGTTAAGTTCAGAACTTTTATCACAGATATTTTTTCCACTTGCATAATGTTTGGGATATTGATGAAAATACAGACATTAATTGTAGGATTTTGGTCCTTCACTGGAGTTTTGCCTTGGGGTTATTGGTGTAAGGAAGGATTTTAAGAGGCTGATGAAAACTCTAAAATAGGAAATTGGGAGGCAGTATGGGTTTGTGGATGTATTCCTGTAAAAGGTGACAAAAATTAAAGGCCTACTATTCTACATATCCTACAGTAATATGTCACAATTCAGATATTTCATAAAATTGGAAGCTAATTTGAATTTTAACCTAAAATTATATCCTAAAAACCCTTAACTATATGAGGGTTCATAATAGACCTCTGTAAGTCTACAATACCTCTTTAATACTTCATTCTTAAAAATATAAAGAAGTAGAACAAAACTCACTCTGGGGCAAAACATTGCTGATATAAATTAAAGGTAATCTAACTATATGTTGATATGTTCATGGATTAGAAGACTTTATAATTTTAAGATGTCAGTTCTCCCCAAACTGACCTACAGATTCAATGCAACCTCCATTATAATCCCAGCAGTCTTTTCAGTAGGGAAAGGCAAAAGACCTAGAATATCAAAAGCAATCTTAAACAGTAAGTAAAAAAGTTGGGGGCCTTGGCTTCATGACTGAACATACAGTTATGGCAATTTAAGTGTTTTGATACTGTCTAAGGATGGACAAATAAAACAATGGAAGAGAATAGAGCCTATAAATACACTCCTACTTATTCAATAAAAGACACCAAAACAATCCAATGGGAAAAGAAAAGTCCTTTCAATAAGTGATGCTGGAATAACTGCATAGCCACGTGGAAAATGGAACCTCAACCCCTACCTCATAGGAAACAAAAAAAGTCAATTCAATATGAATCATATACCTAAATATAGAAGCTAAAACAGAGATTTAAGGGGATTAAAACACTGTAAATCTTTTCAAAGTCACCACAAATATCATCCTACTTCTTTAATATATTATTTTCCCATTCCTTTTCATAATTAAGCAGTCACACTGAATACCTAGAACCTATTTCACTTCAGGACGGGTGACTGAGATAATGAAGCAATTGGTTCAATATATATATAACTTATACAGGAATCTAGATGTGAAATCTGTCTGGCAATGACATTTTCTTGTTACTGCTTATTATTTAAAGTTCAGAATAAATAATTCACTTACCTTCGATGCACCAAGTTGCCTAGATTTAGCTCAAATGGTTCCAAGAGAGATTTTTATGGTCTTTAATATAATTCCATTGTACAGATAAAGGCTTCTATATATTCTCTTCCTTGATTCTCTCCCCCTGCCCATTTCCAAAAGCACAACTATAAATCCTGACAACAACAGTAAAACACGCAACACGAAGCACCTTACCGGAGCCCGTAGAGAACTGTCCCATCAGGATGCAGCCGGATCATTCGGTTTTTCACTGTCACCCCATGCACGAAGGATTTCTTGTCATTCAGGAAGTAGGTATCAGGCACCCAGAGTTGGTCAGCTACCCTGTTGTCTAGCGTGAGGTTCAGTGGGATTCCAGAATAAGAAAGCCTTTTGTCTTTCCAAGACTGCTGGAAATACATGGTGAGTGTATAATCCTGTGAAATAAAGGAAACCAAAAAAGAGAATTTTGCTATCATCATCTCACAGCTTTTGTTAAGAACATGATAACTTGTAGTATTATTGATGACCAGAGACTCAAGGTCCTGCTGTCCCCTAAGAGGTTACATTTGAATTTGTTAAAATGTGTACCTGTGAGTATAAGGCGATCAGTAAGTTAGAAGTACTAGACCAATAATTAAATACATGCACAACCATTTCCATCAATAAAACGCAAACACATTTAATGGAATTTTAATGTTTGAAGTTAAGGTGATGATGTCAAGAGAAGGTCATAAAGGAAAATTATACCCAGAAATCCATGCTTACAAAAATAGACCTCTGGATTTTATATTTGCAGTACTCCATATTTTGGAGGAGAATGCTTGCTAAATAATAAGTAAAATTTATTCACTGAAAAGGAGAGGGTGTTTGTAAACTCTAAATGCCTTTTGAGTAAATACTGATTTTTGTCTTATAAGTGTTACCAGTACCATTATTTGACTCTTTCTAGCAAATGTCAACTTGTCTAACAGTCCTAGAAGGTAGTTTATAAAGCACATTTGGATGGAGATGTTCATTTGGCCTGAGAACAACACCAGTGGTGGAACTGCTCATCTGTTTTCTTATCCTCATTCTCCTTTGTTTCAGGAATGTGTCTGAGGTCAGACCTGGGTTTGCACTTAAGTTCATTTCCTCACCTCCTATCAAGTCACACTAAAGATGTCCCTTTGCTCTTTTCTTTCTTCCCAGGTTTCCCCTGGCAGTGAGAGACAGAAAAATGTGAGCGGAATAAATGGATCCAACTTACAGGAGAGGAATGAATATCTTCGATCTTTAGTGGTTGTCTGTTTTTAAAGAAACCAATGGTAGCAATGAAATCATAAAGTCTTTAAGATGTGGGTTCCATTATAACAAAAACAGAAGGTACACTTTTTCTTTTAAATGGCATTTATATGTTAATAGTGGCTCTATGAATAGTAGCAGTTCAGAAAACACCACATAACTCCAATACAAAGTGTACTGCCATAGTTGTACAGAGTGGAAGGTATTCTATATACACTAGTTGAGAATCACTGACTCACATCATGCCTTACATGTGGGCAAACTGTACGTTAGCTAGATCCCTACATGGATATCTATGTATTTCTGAAAAAATCCTGTAAGATAACACAATACTTATTCTGGATAGTGAGTTCCATTGTTCTTCAACCATTCTATTTAAGAATGCTTATACTGTTTAGTCAGACACCATCTTGCAAAAATTCAAAGCCATTCTTTCTTGTTTGACAAGGACATTTGCTATTTGCTATTAATCATGCAATATTCTTTTTAAAAGTCTAATCATGCAATATCCTTCAACTTGACCTTTAATTCCAAAAGAATGGAACCCACAGGCTTATACACAAGTCTCTTTTCAATTGCTATCATTCTTATTTGTATCCTCTTCAAGAGCTTCCTTTTCAGAAGGAAATGAATTAGAACAGTTCTAGACCTTGGATTCTGAAATACCCTGACTCTAAGATCTGCCACATGTAGACCTGTGTAACCATGAGCAACTAACTTAATCCTTTGTGTCTCAAGGGCCTCATTTAAAAAATAAAAATAATAGTGTTTGCTGCCTTATTGTGAGCATTACTTGGGAAAATTATAATGAAGGTACTTAGAAAGAGTAATATGCTAAACAAATATGTTATCTTCACAATTGATCATTGCTATTTAAAGATTTGGATCATACTTACAAATTACTTGGAATGTACAGATTCATTTTCATCAGCATTTCAATTTTTAAAGAGCTGTTTATGAAAGAACTTATATGCAGAAGGACCCCTTTGACCACAAAAACAAGCAATTGTCTGCAATCAGTTGTAAGCTTTGGTGCTGGGATCTTGTTTGCAATTCAGTCGGTGTAAGAAAATTAATAAGTAGCCAAAGACATGTTATTGTAAATTTTGGCAAGGGGATCAGCACAATCAGCCATGGAATATGTGTTTCCATACTCAGAAGCTTCCAGTATCTCACTAGTGCTACAAGAGTGTTTCCTCACAATGAGACCACAACGTAAAACTCTCACTTTACCTTCTCCACAATACCATTTTAGTGTGTAATGGACAAAGACTCATTACTGTAAAGTATAAAGGACTATAATGACAAAATAAAAGTCTAATCATATATGCTATAATTAAAGTATGAGTTTATGGTAAGTAAACAATGGAGAGTGAAAAGGAGAGAATAATGCAGGCATGAGTCACCTCTGTGGAGAGTTAAGTGTGCGGGGGGCTCCTCTGCAGGTGTGTGTAGATTTGTCCTTTCTCTTTCTGGAAAATGTTTTGTTTTCTGTGGAGAGAGAACTACGCACATGCAGTAAGAACTTTGCTCTACAGAGCTCACCCTGTTTTCAATAAATATTGACTAAAAGTCACATCATGGTTCTAAATTAAAGCAATAACTTACCCTATTTCCAATAAGAAGTAATTCAGTGAAGATTTATGTATGCTCATATGTTGCATTTGGAAGTGGGAGATGAGAGGTAAGTACCCTGCAGACCTCTTCTTACGCATGTCTAGGGTTATTATTCTCATCTAGAACCTGACCTGGTTTCATGACAAGTGGAAATATAGACATATATAATTCAAAACCTTAATAAAAACTTTTGAAGTTAATGATAATTTTGGTGATAATGGTGCACATTATGGAAAGACCTAAAACATAGAAATTTTTCCTTTTTGTACTATGTACATTATATCACATGCATGATAATAATCTTTTTCTCTTTGAGAGTGCTCTGTGTTCTGTGGTGTTTATAGCCTTTCATACCTGCTATCACAATTGTTCTTAGAACCTGGTGAGATGGGCAAAGTCCCTATGATAGAATTTATGAGTCTGAGAGACAACTTGCTGTACCTTAAGTGGATTATTCTTTCTCTCTAAACCTTAATATAAATATGGACAGTGATATTTGAATATAATAAAACTTATGACATCATTTTGGTGTATCCTATTTTTGGATAAAAATGAAAGGCTTAAAATTGCTGTATTTTTCTCCTTTCATGCAACAGATTTTCAACTGATTCTTCATTAGTCCAGAGTGCAAGCGCTCCAGGAAGAATAAACAATTTTTCAGAAAGAAATCAGAGGCATTAATACTTCAGCCAAACAGGCTAAAATCATTTTTCTTCCAGGTATATTTCCAAGCGTCCAACCAGCTTTCTCAAGTTCTCAAGCTACTCTTTGAGAGGAAGTGTTACATATTTAGATACTATGGGCCTTAGGGGATTCTTTGACACTGAGGCAAATGAATGGGATTAATGGGTGTGAGGTTGTTAATGAAATTGGTCAGGCTAATTCAGGCATGAGAAAATTTAATTCATTGAGGAAAAGCAAGATAGACGATAGCAAATTGGAGTGCTCAATTGAGCTCCAAAAGGACATACTTTTAAAATCTAAAAATGTGTAAAGAAATAAGACAATATATGTAATAAATAAAAGCGAGTCTTTTGAAGAGTAAAGATAACATCTATTTTACGTAGTAGTTTTAAGCTCAGGGTGATCTTTGCCCCCCAGAGGACGTTCAGCAGTGTCTGGAGACAGTCTGGTTGTTGCAGCCGGGAGTTACACTGCGTTCCACCAGCATCTGTGGGAAGAGGCCAGGGATGCCCCGGACATAATGCACTGCACGGTACAGCCCCCGCAGCACAGAATCAATAGTTCAAAATGTCAGTAGTGTCAAGGTTAAGAAACCCTGTTGTAGATAAAAATATTTTTCTTTTTAGTATCAGTAAAAATTTTCAAAATATTTTTATCATTTTCATCATAAAACATATGTAGATTAATATGTCTACCCCAAGATTTTAATATATTCCCCAAACCTTTATGAATGGGGCATTAGATCATTTATAATTTGCTTCTGTACCATAAAAATCATTTGATAAAAATCCATTACTTTTAGCATCAGAGTAGGGATAAAGAGTTATGTGTTTTAGGCAAATATATTGAGGTGTGTGTTTTACCAGAATGAGCTCTAAGAAGACCTTGTGTCAGCTGGAAAAGTGAGAGTCTCTTATTAGCTACCTCCTTGATCAGCCCATTTCAGACTAATTTGTTCATGAACAGACAAAATATTGTGTTAACATCTTGTAATATTGCATCCACTCAGAAGGATCATATGAGCAATCCTTCTTTTTTAAATTGTTCTTGAAAAAAAAAGTTTATATACATATAGAAAGAACCAGGGCTCTTGCATACATTTGTATTTTAGTTTTCATCAATTTGAATATATATTATATGGGGTCCCAAATACAAATCCCTCTTTACTGAGATATATTTATGCCAGCTTACTTGACCTTGAGATCTGCTGTTTCCAAAGCTAAGGCTGCTTTTCCCAAAGGCTGAATGTAGTAAAGCTGTGCATCATTGCCTACCACTTCAACAATCACTTCTGTGATGGCAACTGCCCTGCCTGCAGCCCCTGCTGATTGACGAAGGCCACGTTCTACATCAATAATGCTGCCCTATCCCATTTTGACAAAGGAGAGTAGATGTCTGATTTATGAGCATCTGATTCAGAGGCAGGCAATAAGCTTGTATCTGGCTCAAAAAACAAAAACAAAAAAAGATGAGGTGGACCAATCAGAGTCCTCTCTCAGAAATTTTCTATTGGATAAAGGGTCTGAGACCAGAGATGTAGGACCAAATACAAAGGTCATGATATTTACTTGGGCTGCACTGCTATTGTGAGGTTATGAAAAAAAGAAGCCAGTGTATAGAGGAAGAAAGAAAAAAATAAAGGTGCAGAAAATAGTCATATGAGGAAGAGTCTGGCATGGTATAGAATGAACAACCAAGTTCATAAAGACTTTCTACTTCCTATTTCTATTTCTTGTGAGGTCTGGACATGTTCAATACTTCAACCTCTTATGAGCCCTCTTGTCTCATTATGATAAACTCCACTTTCTTTGTGCTAAGCTGATTCCATCTTTGTTTCCTCTAATCAGAAAGA